CATAATAACAACTTTGTTTTCGCAGATCAACTAAGATTTGGTACCATGTATGTTTTCTAGGGCTGTCCTAACAAGGGACCACAGACTGAGTATCCTAAACAACAGAAATTAATTTTCTCACAATTCTGGAGTCTATTAAGTCTGACATCAAGGTGTTGGCAAGATTGATTTTTCTGAGACCTTTCTTCTGATGGTGTTTTTTGTTTGGTATTTTTTTCTGTGCGCACACACACTGTGTGTGTGTGTGTGTGTGTGTGTGTGTGTGTGTGTGTGTGTGTGTGCGTGCTCTGTGTTCTTATTTCTTTATAAGTATGTAAGTCATTTTGAATTAGGCATAGCCATATGACATTATTTAACCACCTTCTTAAAGGCCCTCAGTAGAGTAATATTCAATCCAACGTACCAATTTTGAAGGCACTTAATTCAGTCTATAGCATGCTTTTTTCTTTGTTTCTTTAAAGGAAGAATGTTATTGATGTTCCTGAAAAAAAATTAGTACCTTCATGTGTGTATTTTAACCTTTGTATCACCAGTGTGTAGCACAGAGTATTGGCTAATAAATGATTTGTTGAATGTGTGAATAATTAAAAAGCACATTGTATATGAGAAGATTCTAAGATGATATATCACAATTTCATTTGATCAGGGTAAAGAAATATTTAAGGATGATTTACTCCTAGGAACTAGATCACTGGTATTTTGGACCATATTTGCACAACTCTGAAGCCTTTGGTGTAGTGAAGATTCTGAAGAAGTCAAAGTGCAGAGAGGAGGGGAGACAGTTTCTTCTGACCAGAGAAAGCTACTGCCGTAGGAAGTGTTAGCATAGTCTTGGCACAGCTGAGAAATGTTTGAACTAGATAAAGTAGCATAGAGAGCAGATGAATTAAGAAAGATAAATATTGGTGGTACAAGAGGGTACCAGATATGTTAACAGTTAAAAAAGAGATAATCTTTTACAAACAGTAAAATTGCTAATAGGTAAACACACATGGACATATGTATGTATATCAGTATTAGTATGTTACTGTATCTGTTCATCTTAGAAACACCTAAATAGTATTATTTTTTCAATCTTGACTGTGTATCAGAATCATCTGGAGATGTTTAGAAGTAAAATGCTGAATCCCCACCCTGGTTCTGTGAAACATAATGTCTGCAGATAAGAAGCAAACAAGTGTATTACATGAGCTTTTCTATTCCTTACGGGTTATTCTTAAGTGCAGCAAGGGCATGAAAAGCTTTGGATTTAAAGGCAAACGAGCCATAATTTAGTAAATAGCATAATGTGTAGTAATTTGCTTAGTAGCGTATGTCTATTATATTTTAAAAAATAGCCAAGCGTTAAGCTGATATTAGCATTGTGAGAACATAAACAGATTTTAGGTTATTATGTCCTTCATTTTTGTTGAATACAACAGTGTGAAAACGTTGATCATGAATAATATGGAAAATATGTTTCCATTTGTTACGTCTGAAGGAAAACATGCTTAATCCATTAAATTTAGAAACGTAGTTATAACAAGGTTAATTATAGTCCAAATTCACACAATTGCATTATCTACAATGGAGCTGCAGTTTTCCTATTTCCATTATAAATTAAAAATACGAGCTCTGAATCTATGTGTTTTATCTTTAAAAGAGTTTTAAAAATACTCACTAATTTTGGTATTTCTTGTTAGATCATTTTTCCTTTAAAATAGTCTATATATATTTTTCAGGTGTACACCTGATATTTTGACATGCATAAATGGATAAATATTTACTAAGGCAAAGCAAATTAACATATCCATTATTTTACATAGTTACCTTTTATGTGTGTTTAGTAAAGAGTTATTTTTCTTTTTAAATATTTTTCTTCTCTTTTCATTCAAGGGAGAGAATTTCTTTCTGTTCACATAAGATCCAGTGCTGTGCTAGGCATTAGAAATAAAGAGATGGGCAGTTGTTATCCCATCTATACACATACAGCCACATAAGTATGCCTGCTTTTCTTTTCTTCCTTTTCTTCTGTCTCTTTTCTAAGCATGGTTTCACTAACACCCGATTTCCCCAACATTTTGGATTTCTTTATTGTTTCTCTAAAGCTCCCCTCTCCAAACATGGCTGCTAATCTGCCAGGGTCTGACCTCCAAGCCTGCTTTAAATTCCATGTTTTTATTTTATTTTATTTTATTTATTTATTTAATTTGTTATTATTATTATTATTATTATTATTTGGTTTGTTTTTGTTTTATTTCTGTCCTCCATTCTCCTCCTTTGGGAAGCAGCTGAGATTTACAGCTTGCCTGCCTTGAGGATTTTTCTTTAAACTCCAATAAAGTTGTCATCAAGCTTTAAAAAAAAGAAGAAAAAAGAAAGGAACATACAGAGATGAATGTTAATCCCTACATTCAGGAAACTTTCAGTCTTAACAGAAACAAAAACCAAGTTGTTCGCATACAGTGTACCTGGATTATATTCTGGTTATGTACTGTGAAGAATCGAGTTTCCCATTTACTAGCGTTTTAGGCTACTGCTACTTGTGATGGAAAGACATACTTCATTTTTAAGGGCTGAACATGTAAGGATTTTAATAAACGGAAGAAGTGGTGTTTGTCAGACATTTTCGTTTGGAACGCTTGCTTAGGTTTGGTAAACTAATTAGATTATAGTCATTTCCTGACTCTGAACATTTAACAAAACTAAAGTCAGGATGTGAATGTAGCTCATTTTGTAGAGTGCTTACCTAGTATCTGCAAGACCCTAGCACTGTGTAGGATATGCATGATGGTATACACCTGTAATCCTAGAGTTCTGGAGGTGGAGGCAGGAGGATCAAGAATTCAAGCTCAGCACTTGGCTACACAGCAAGTTCAACTCCAACTTGGTATATTTGAATCCATGACTTAAAAAGAAAATAACCCCCAAATTGGTGTTGTTATGATCCATGCATGTAGTGTTGATTTTGACCATCATATAGATATGAAGTATCTTCTTAACCATAAAAATATTATTTTGTGCTCAATATGAAATCTCAGGCCTAGAGGGGGGACTTTAGAGACTGATCTAATGTGAGAAAAGTTTCCAGAGTTTTGTTTGTGTGTGTGATATGACCAAGGCCGCTTATATTGTGTATACATGGGAGAGTTAAGAGAAAACCCACTGACCCTTCCTTTAGTGATTTTTCCACTAGAGAAAACTTCTAAAAATTTCAGTTATTTGAAGATGAGTACTACATTGCTAATATGTGGTTAAAACTCAGGTAACAATGATATAAATCAGTATGAAATATATTACTGGTTTTTAGAATACATATATTGCAAAGGTATACACAGATACCATGCTTTAATAGAATTAAACATAAATCAACTTGAGGACTGAGGCTGTAGCTCAGTAGTAGTGTCCATGTACCCTAGGTTCAAGCCCCATTTTTACTCAAAAAATATATAAGCTATAAAGCATATATATATTTGCATTTCAGTGTTGCTGATTTCATTAAATATTTTGAAACTCATAGTGGGTTTTTAAAAAATTCTTTTAAAAAGTATACTTACAAGTCACAACTTAAGAGGATCTGCTGAAATTCTGTTTTGATATATGACATCCATTGATGTCCTTTCACAATTGTTATTCATTTCTAATTGATTTGTATAGATTGCAAATACCTAAAATGAAAATTCCTCTCCTGTATACTTTTCTTGAGTGGGGCAAATGTCTGACTTTCTATGTGTCATTGAATTTATTTTAGTTGTCAGGAAGGCTAGCTCATTGAGCCCATTCTCTTGTCCACTTTAGCCTTAGCCACATTGATTAAGCAAAGCGGCAAAGGGTCAATTAATGAAGAATATCTTTGGTATAATAGAAAACTTTCAAGACTTCTAGACTTAATTAACTAGTCATGTGAGCTTAAACTCCATGTGTCAAAATTTTGTTCTATAGACAGTAAAATGGTCGGATAAGAGATACCACTGCAGCTTTTGTTATTTTGTTATATGAAATTCATGTTTGGGGGGCAGTTTGAGATAGGGTTTCTCTGTGTATCCCCATCAAGCCTGGATCTAGCTATGTAGACCATCCTAGGCTGGCCACAGTCTCACAGAGATCTGCTTGCTTCTGCTTCCTCAGTGCTGGGATTAAAGGCTTTTACCACTACACCCCGCTCATTTTTTGTCTTATTTTATTTTTAATTTGTTCATATTAGCTCTTGTGACTTCCCTTGGGACTAGTATTGCAACTCACTTAAGGGTTGTCATCACAACTGAGTGTAGCCCTCCATTCTGGGGCAGTAGTATTGAATGAAGGGGCTTCCTTTCTTTCTGACATCAGGGGTAAGAATCTGGCATATCAGTTATACTTAAATTACTAATCAAATTCCATGGTTGGGAACATTTTGGGGTGCCTGAAAATTATATCCATGCCAGTTTCTTTTGCCTTGATTTGGCTAGTTGGATATTAAAATATTTTTAAAAGAACTTTTGAGATGTTCATTTTGCTGTGTCTCACTGTTTGCAAGGTTTTATCTTAACTTTCCCTGCCTCCCTGCCTCATAAGTCACACTCCAGTGATGGACTAAAAAGTCTTAGCTCTTATTACTAGTGTTTTATTGCTAACCATTTGTAAAGTTGGAACGTAAATTCTATTCCACATTCTTTCAGTTACAAGAAATTCTATAGTAGGATCTTGGCTGGGTTGTATGTGAATGTGATTCCAGCATACTGAAGGTAGAGGCAAGAGGATTGCTGAAAGCTTGAGGCCAGAGTGGTCCAAGTAACAGGTTCTAGCAGCTAGGGTTACGTAGCAAGACTCTACTTCAAAAAAACTGAAAAACAGTAATGACAACAACCAAAAAATTATATCTTTGTGTTGACTGAGGAGATGAGGATATTAGTATTCCATAAAACTATGTGCTAGACTGATGGGGTTGGTTATTATGTAATTTATGGTATAATTGACGGTGTAATTTTTTAAAATGGAGTTTAAAGTATAAACGACTACTATTTGGATGTATTTCTTTACAGAATGAAGATGTTAAGGAAATCCCTATCACACATCATGTTAAAGAAGGATACGAGAAAGCAGATCCTGCACAGTTTGAGTTGCTCAAGGTTCTTGGTCAGGGGTCATTTGGAAAGGTAATAAATACTTCTTCCTACACCTGTTTTTCTTCTAGACATTAAGCAAAAAAGTGTATACATGCATAGACTCTAATACATGTATCATTCCTAAGCCTCTCAAATGTGGCACTCTAAGGTGATTCTTTTTTAAGTTTAATTTTTGTTTTTATTCATATTTCTTTGTATTTCTCTATAGCAGTCAAGAATTGCTAATCTGCTGAGTCTGTATTCTATAGGTAGAAAATGTTGGTTGTCCAAATCAAGGTAGTTTGATGTTTATGAATATTTTTTCCCTCTCTGTTCATGGTAGCACTAACATGGACTGCAGTTTTCTGGTGATGTTGTCAATGTTTCTTACTTCTATATCAGAATTTAGAATTTATGTCATAATTCTTTTGTGGATTCATGAGTTAATCTATCATCTCCTACAGCAAAGTAGAGCTAGGGTAGCTATTGGGTGATGTGTAAATCATGTAACATTCTTGCTTTGAAGAATCTGTGAGAAAAATTAATTTGTACATTCATTATTAGATTTGTCTGTTGAGTTTTAGACAACATTTTTCCTAGAAAAGTAGTGTGCAGCTTGGGATCCTGAAGGTTGTAGATCTAAAATCTAAGAAATGAAATTTATTGCATATATACAATAAGTAATGACCTTTAAGAAAACAGCAGTAGCCACAATTTAAGGGCTAGAATGATAAGGAGAAATAAAAACTTCACCATAGCTGAGATTTTTGTTACAAAAGGGAAAAGCAAAGCAGTTGGACAGTGATTATAATGTTGAAGTTCATTTGTAATGCTATTTCCTGAGTACACAGTGGCGCATATGTTTATGAGTATTGGTGAATGTAAAAATGACATTAATTATTTGACTGTAGTATGGTAATTCTACAGCATAAAATATGTGAAATACTTAGAAATAGTTTAGGACATAAAAGGCAATCTGAGATGGCTTCTGGTTGAGTGGTGAATGGTACAAGGGGAATAAAATTTGAAGAGTAAGTAGCAGAGAAAAACTAGAGGGGCTTTTAATAGATTGCTGCTGGTGGTCGAGGAAGTACTTAGAAAACTAACTTGTAGATTAGGCCTATATATTTTGCACACCTTTATTTTAATGATTCTGAAAGTACAAAATACTTTGAATTATTTTGCACTCTGTAGCTATTTTTACTATCTTAAATTATTAGAACAGGGATGAAGTTTATGTCCCAAAGTATAAATGCTTAAATATTTGATCAATAAAGTGGTACCATCCAAACATTTTGAACTATTAAAATTGTTTGTTAACTTCATGTATGTATTAATCTATACACTTATTCTTACTTTGTTTCAGAACATATTTAAGACTTTCATGAATAAATAGCAAGCAAAATTGAAAACAAGTAGCATGACTTACATGGTGGTATATGCCTGTAATCCTAGTACTCAGGGAACTGAGGAAGGAGGATTATGGTTGGTTTGACGCCAGGCTGGGAGCTACATAGTAATTTGAGGCCAATTTTGGCTATGATTGAGACCTTTTCTCAAACAGAAGCAAAAAATACAGGAAGGGAAGAAATAAAATAGAAACAAAACTGAAAGCAAGTTGCAAAGTTGATGGAATCAGAAACATCAGAGCAGGAAAGATTAGGCAAAGCCTGGATTCCCATTGTTGTTCACAAACGTATGACGTTAGGGCCTGTAAGTCTTCTGTAAATGGTCCAGAAATGAAACTAACAACCACTCTGAAGAAACTGACATATTCAAGTGCGTTAATATTGGCACATCTTTGAGATAAAATCCTATCAAACAAAGAAGATAAACTTTTCTTATTGCTCTTCATAAAGAGAATATTGTATAACATAATGAATTTTTCTCAATAACATCTTCATGTTAAATATAACAACGTGCTGACAAGTTGTCAGTGTAGTCCTTAAATTCTGGGAACACTGTGCAGTAACTTTGTTTTAACAAAGACATTGAAGTGCGTTTTAAATTCATAGTACTAAGTTGCAGAGTAGTGAGATTTATGCTGTTCATCAACCAAAGAATTATTAAGGAGGTAGCTTTTTTTTTCTTTGCTTCTTAGGATGTGAACATACTTGTTTGCCAGTATTGCATCATTTGTGTAGGCATTGTGTGGGTGTGACTTGTTATATGCTGAACCTATTCAGGAATTTGGCCAAGGCTGTGAATCAGATAAGTGTAGGAGCAATTCCAAGAAACTTCAGGCTACAGAGTCTTATTTAAGTTGTTAGGCCAAGGTTTCACTGTTAAAATACAAGCAATGGGATTTTAAGTCTTGTAAGGTTTAATGACATTAAAAGTTATTATAATGGGAACAAAATTCTACTAGTACCAAAGTCATGCAAAGGCTGTACTTTAAAGAAGAAGCTTTAATGGAATGGAGAATAAAAGAACAATACATTGGTTCATTAAGAACATAAACAAAATTAACAGATCCTTAGCAAAACTGACCAAGAGAAAGATAGAGAAGATTCAATTAATAAAAGGGGCAATGTAGCAGATTCTACTGTAATTCAAAGGATTATTAAGGAATACTTTAAAAGTCTCTATCTCCTATTCTCCAAAACTTGGCCAGTTGTGGCCTTCTGTGTGCATCTCACTTTGCTATACAAGGAAGATTCACTGGTGAGAGTTGAGGGATGCATTAGCTCTCTCTGTACCCCTCATTTCGCTATGTTCCATGAGCCTTACCATGTATGTCAGAATACATAGGGTTTGGTGGGGGGATGGGAGCAGGCATGAATGGGGGAGTGGGGTCTGGATTTGAGTGGGAAATGTATGAAATTAAAAAAGTTAAATGAAAAATCTCTATCTCCATAAATTAGAAAGTATAAAAGAAATGGTTAACTCTCTAGACATATGAACTATTAGAATTAAAGCAACAAGATACAAACAACATATATAGACGTAGAACGAACAATGTGATGGAAACAAAAAGTCTCCAAATAAAGGAAGGGAAGAGGGAGGAAGGGAGCTTAGTATGATGGACAAGCAGAATGTGTGTGTGTGTGTGTGTGTGTGTGTGTGTGTGTGTGTGTGTGTGTGTGTGTGTATTGGAGTAAGAGGAACGAAAAGCCCAAAAAGAGCAGGGACAGTGAACAAAGAGAGTAATAGGACCTATATGACATGAAAACCAAAGAGGAAAGCTATTTGATTGGAGAATGTGGCCCAACAAGGTGGCAAAAGAGATGGGAAAGAACAGGGGAAGTCAATAAGAACAAAATATCATGATGCATGAGTGTTCATAATGAAACCTGTTTGCATACTGACTAAAAATTCAAAACAAGCTTTATCTTCACAAAATCACATATGCAAATTTCCATACTGATCATGCCAAGTATAACACTATTACTGATCACTAAAGCATTGGTTGAAATAAGTAGTATACCTAAAAATTACATTATTTTAAAACATGTAACATAAAAACCTGGTTGACATTTTCAGACTAGACTGTATAGCACATGCCAAATCATATTTAAAGAACACCTATATTAATATATTATAAAATAATGTTTTTCCTTTTGTGATAATAGTCTTAAAATTCAAGACTTAAATGCATTTTTAAATCCATTGAAGTGTTTTATTCTTAAATAATTGATCAACTATCATGTGAGTTTTTCTTTTCAAATACAATTTATTTCAATTCTAACATTTTTTAAAACAACGTTTTTGATAATTTCTTCAAGAATGAGAAGGTTGAAGTAAAAATTCTAATATTAATTATTTTTATGTGCCACAGTGACCATGACACATGACACAAGATACAAGATTTTCTCATATGATCGCACTTGGAAGATCTGCATAATTAAGTTAATTTTTTAAAAATTTGTTTTTATTGAATTTTTGTGTATTCCATACAGGACATCTCAAACACTCTTAATCATCTTTATACCCCCATCCCCACCGTCACACTCCCATAGCCCCCCACTGGAGCCCATATACTCTGTCATTCCCTGTTAAGGCCGACTGTGTGAAGTCAGTGTCCCTTATCTGAAGAAATATTGGCAACTGATTGCTGCTAGGTGAAGAAGAGCTGGTCTTCCTAAAAGAAGGGACTCTATATAGGCTGACTAGGCCTCAGTGGTTGGACTTGCACTGGGGAACGTCTTAAGTTAGTATTTTTGACTTGACCACGACACACTATTACTAAATCAAAGTGTGGGTACCAAATCATTCAATGTGCAAGGTGGACCAGTGGATTTTTGTGTAACAGACTATGGCTAGACATATAATGAATATGGTTTTCATATTCTCCATTACAAGGAAACTTTAAGAGACTGCTAGTAATACATTTCTGATGACATATCAGAGTTTTCACTGTTTTATGAAAAAAGTTATTAACATGATTATTCCCTTTATAAATCATATCTTGTGAATCTTGATTTTTAAAACTGTGCTGTAAGCAAAACTACTTAATTGCAACATACTGAATTTAGGCATAAATACGGGACTCCAGTTGTCGTCTTAAGGCAGATACTAAGTGTTTGTAAAAATGTAGTTCAGAGTCACATTTTTCGTTTATTTTCTGTTTTGGAAACTATACTTATCTTTGTTAAAATGTTTATATTTACATGTAACAGGTTTAGCTTTAGTGCATTGATAATACATATTCAATATTTTTTTCTAAATTTTAATACGGTAACTAGGAGTACATGTATCCCACAGATTCAAAAGCTCTTTGACGTCTTCAATAATATTTATGATTTGAAAAGATCCTTGAGACACCAGAGATTGAGAACTGCTTTCCTGGAAGACTGAAACAGTTTTATGTGTGGTGTAGTCAAAACATGAATGATGAGCTAACCCTTTTGTTTTTGTCACCTGGTCACATGATTTTGATTATGAAACGGAAATTGGTTGCATGAATTTAGTTGACCTATTCGGGAAAACTCAGTGAAAACTTTGAGCTTGGTACTTAGTGTTAATGCCATCAACTTAGCATTGAAGTATATTTTTTCAGATCAGAAAATTCATTTAACCTGCTGCTTAAAAGATACCTCTTAAATCAACTGTGCCAACACATAAGTATCTGTTTTCCAGTCAACAAAACTTTGGGGGAAAAAAAACTCTGATGAGTAAATACACCTTTGTTTTTCTGACTCTGCCTTAATATATTATATGACATATTTGTCTTCATTATTGATTCAATTCTTTTGTCTATTCTATGTAACAGCTTCAAAGATACACCTCTGTGATTAAAAGTCTGACTTCACACTGATAAATTACAAGATTTTAATTCTTCCATTATAAAGAGTACTGAGGGCCGATTAAGGTTATGTTGATTTTTACATCATTAGCTCAAATGCTTATTATTTTCATTAATCGAAGTCATGGACCTTCAGGAATATCCTTTACAGATTTAAAGCTAGTAAAATAATAATCCCAATTGATACATCTATTGAGATCATCTGTGGCACTAGCTACATTTTCTCAAGGTTCTACAATATTTGTGGAAATTAGCTTGGAGTTCAGACTAGATCTGAGACAAGATATTGATACCATATTAGTTCTAATGTGTCCTTTTAATACATAAATGGTGGTGGCAGTCTGCCAAGTATGTGATTGGGCTTAACTTCTAAACCCATCTTTTTTCCAGTGTTCCATAGTATACAAGCTCTTCTATTTGTTAATATGTGAACTCTCTTCATAACCAAATGTGGTTATGATCTGTTTGTTAATGGCTCACTATTGCAAATGCTCAAAAATCGAGAGCAAGCACTTAGAAGCTTTCACAGTTGTTTATCAGGATAATTTGTTTTGTTTTGTTTTTGTTTTTTGTTTTTTGGTCTTTTTGAGACAGGGTCTCCCTGTAGCCCCTGCTGGCTTAGATTCGCTATGGAGACCAGGTTGGCCTTGAATTTACAGAGATCCACCTGTCTCTGCCTCCTGAGTGCTGGGATTAAAGGCGTGTGCCACCACGCCCAGCTTGTCAGGATAATTTTATATCTGTGGTATATAGTAGTTTAAAAAAGGATTACATTTATATAGCTTTTAAGTTCATTCTAAATAATTCATTTGTTTATATTTTGTAAAATTATGATCTGTAATGGATTGGGGGAAAGGGACCAAAACTGGTTCTTTTACTCAGAAAGTGTGAAAAGCACCACCTGGGCAAGTGTGAAAACTCTTAACCTGGAAGTGGTACTGTGAAATCTGAGGGCTGTCATGAAATATAATAACAAAGTAGATGAGTGCCTTATTCCTTAGTGGATGGATCTCGTAAATTGTCCAAATGGCATGCCACAGATTTGAATTGCCCCTCATCATTTTGTAGATACATAATGATTACATAGCTGATATAAAATTATAAGGCTTCCAAATACGCTTGACAATGGGAAGCATGTGCTTTCTAGACATCACAGGAGTGATTGGTGCACAGATGAACTCCCGGAAGCAGTGGTTGTCTGCATAAGACCTGTACAAGTTCAAGCCAGTCAAGATTCCACCATAGATGGGGAATGTGGCTCACAAAGCCCTACCTCTAGCTGAGGAGCTATTAGGACTTGATGGCTGTGTGAGGCGGTGGCGGGGGGGGGGGGGGTGACAATGGGAAGCATGTGCTTTCTAGACATCACAGGAGTGATTGGTGCACAGATGAACTCCCGGAAGCAGTGGTTGTCTGCATAAGACCTGTACAAGTTCAAGCCAGTCAAGATTCCACCATAGATGGGGAATGTGGCTCACAAAGCCCTACCTCTAGCTGAGGAGCTATTAGGACTTGATGGCTGTGTGAGGCGGTGGCGGGGGGGGGG